ATGTATATATATGTATGATTTTTTAAGGAGGTGCCCGGTGATACCCCAACTGCACTGACGGGATGGTTGAGGGAGAAAGGGAGGTAGGAAAGAGGGAGGAAGGAGGAGTGGTGGTAGGATGGGAGGAGGAAGGTGTAGGCAAGTGAGAGGGTGGTGCAGGAGGGGGACACCGGACACGTCCGTGAATGTATTGATTAGTATTGATTCTTTTTTTGCTTGATATTGTGATAAAAGATTTATGTTTTTGTTTTTCAATGAAAAATCAATAAAAAATTATTTAAAAAAAAAAAAAAGCGATGATCCAAACTTTACGTATAAGTCTGGATATGCAAACTCAAACTATGACCTCAACCAAAGAATTATCTATACAGAATTCTATAGAGAAAGTGAAACAAGCAAATGCTATGACAGAAGACTTAGATCAGTGGTTCTCAACCTGTGGGTCGGGACCCCATTTGGGGTCGATTGACCATTTCATGGGGGTCGCCAAGCAAGGCTGTCCGCCATTTTTTTTTGTCCGCCATTTTTTTTTGTCCGCCATTTTTTTCCCCTTTTCTGGCGGGTGCCTTACCTCCCTTGGGCTGGGCCAGCTGGTGGTCAGCCTGCTCCATCTCTGCCGCTTGCCAGCTACGCCTCGGCCGGCGCAGGGGGCAGAACCACGCATGCGCGGCGCTCCCGGGCAGGGAAAGTCCTCGACTTACGACCGGTTGGGTAGTCCTCGACTTACGACCGGTTTAGTCCTCGACTTATGACCAGTTTAGTCCTCGACTTACGACCGGTTTAGTCCTCGACTTACGACCGGTTGGGGTCGCGGCATTAAAAAGGTTGAGAACCACTGACTTAGATACTCAACAAATACAGACAATGGAAAACACAAAAAAGAAACTGATAATAGAGAACAAGGAAAGGACTTTTCTTATAAACCAGAAGGAATTTGAAGATAAAAAAGAAAAACAGATGAAAGAGAAGATAAATACTTCGGGACAACTGCATCGAACTGGAAAAACAAAGAGACTACCAGCTAAATCAACTAGTCCTCTTAAGAAAACATCAACTGGATGCTCTTATCAACATCAAACAATAGCCACAACAATACAAGGAGATTTTTTTGATGATTTAAAGGCAAAGATACGAAAAATGACCTGGCAGAGAAAAAAAGCTAGAATAAGATTGAAAAAGATTGGGGTTTTGATCTATACATGAGATCTAAAATAGAATATATCTAAATGGATAGCATATGTATTCTGAACACAAGATATTGTAACGATTTGAGATAAAGAAAATTTTGGTCACATAAAATCTAGAAATATATTGAAATAAGAATATTATACTGTCTTATTAGATTGGTAAGATAGATGGTAGAATTTATATACAAGGTGTGTATTTTAAATATTAGAATGTATGAGGAATTGTGATAAAGGAATTGTGTTTAATTAAAAATCTGAAAAAAATAAATATTAAATGTTAAATTAAAATATTAAGGGAAAATTAACCATCAGGTTACCGATTGGCTAAAAGTTTGAATGTTTACAAATAACTAAGATTTGAATTTAAGATATTGTTATGAGTTGAGACAAAGGTTAAGTAAAACTTAGAAGTATAAATACTAATAATTAAATTTGTATATGGGTTTGTGGTACAAATGTTGGTGGTTTATTTTTATTTATTTTTCTTTCTGGAAAGGAAGAAAGAAAGGAAGTAGAAGGAAGAAAAGAAAAAAATTATTAGCCCCAAATGTGAGATACGAGACTTAGAAATTGGGATCATTTAAAATCTGGAAATGATAAAGATTAAACGTTAAACTTAAATATCAATGGGAAATCAAAGTTAAGAAAAACTTACTAGGTTATTGTTTAAAAGGTGGAATGTCAAATTAATTAAGATATGTATAGACTGAAGATTATTGATGAATATTAGAAAGGTACTTTTTGTTTGATTGATAGAATAAGAACTGTATTGGTTCGAACATGACAGTAGATATTATGGGGGAAAGAGAGGGAATTAGTTGCTGTAATACTTTGAGATTTGTACTGATGATATTCAAATGTAATGGAATTACTGTGCTCAGCCGCCATGCTACTTTTCAAATATGTAAATGTAATATTGTAAAATTAATAAAAAACTTGGAGAAAAAAAAACAAAGCTTGAATCCAGGGAGAGAAGGGTTTTGTTGACTTTTTGCAAGAAATAATGGAATGTGATGGACATTGATAATGAACATTAATGATGTCCAAATAATAGACATTGCAGCCAAGAAAGGTTATTTCCTAAGTAGCAATAACCTATCCATAACTTTGCAGTGGTGGAAAAGTGGATTTCCAGGCACAATTGGATCCAGGAGACTTAATCTACTATCTTACTGAGCTATGCAACAAGTAATTTAAACTAAAGAGTTAATGAGTTTTTAGCTCCAAGGGTATTCACAAATATGGTTTTAAAAATCAAAATAGCAATTCTGAGGGTACATTCAAAACTGCTCTCATTTTTTAATATGGACCATATACAGTATTATACAGGAAGCACATAAAAAGTGGGCTGAATTTAGATCACACTGTCACAGCGACCATCTTGATTTTTTTACCGCATTCTGCAAACACTCCTGCATAAGCTTTATTTCACCTTTGGTTCTCAACTTTCAGCCCTAGAGCACCCTATGAAGTACAGTTGGGTGCTTATAAACTCTTGGACCCTTCTCCTAATATGGTGACATCGGCCGTTAAACGTGTTATCTCCCATCCTGACTACAATGGCAAGGACGGCTCCATTGGAGACATTGCTTTAGTGGAGTTGAATTCCCCAGTGACTTTCAATGACTATATCCTTCCCATCTGCTTGCCAGCATCTTCTGTGGAGTTTCTTGCAAACACAAAATGCTGGGTCACTGGATGGGGACGGATTGGGTATTCAGGTGAGGAAAACTGGAGGAAGCATTTTTAATTGTTCTTAAAGAGACCCAGAAAGTTGGACTATATGTGATTTTTTTTTGCTTGTTTGTTTCTTCAATAATACACATTTGTTATTTGGGAAAAGAAAGCTGCTGAGGCTGCTTTTTCTATGTGGATTTTAAAGGTTTTCCATAATCTTCCTCAACAATGACCTGATGCATGTTGCATCATAGATAGCGAAGTCTTTATGGGAGTTGTCATTGAGTAATCTGAGTGAGGAAGTCCATCTCTATGAAATGTTTTATCTAATTTGAATAAAGAAGAGTGATGGAACCAGACAACCAAAGTATATAGGCAGGTATCCATCAAAATAATCTATTACATGGATAACTGGAAGAGAGAGCGGTAGGTTTCAAAGTACAGATGAGTTGTTTGCACTTACCTGGAAGTAGTTAGAGTACTAGTTTGGGAAGGTCAGCAAAAACCTTTCTGAAACATCATTGAGGGCAAACTAATGGAAGTCTTTTTTTAAATACATATGTTTAAAAAATATGGGGAGTGCAATTTTTCATGACTCTCAACAATATACAATAAGAAACAAGATTATACAAGTGGCAAGTTTTATTCCACAGCATAAGTACACATTATAAACCTGCCCAGATGTTGATGAAATACAATATGTCTCCTAGAATCTTTCATCACTCATCTTCCTGACTGGGACTGCTAGGAATTGTGGTTTAGCAACATCTGGAGGTCTATATATTGTGCATAAATCTGTTATCTTTGCATTCTGGGAATGAAAATTGTCCCATTTTTCTCTTCTACAGAAGACTTGGCATCCCCCAAAATCCTTCAGGAAGTGGACGTACCTATCATAGATCGTGATACTTGCAACAATCTCTATAATATAAGCAAAGGATATCAGTTACAAACTGATCTTGTCAAGGCTGATATGATCTGTGCAGGGTACAAAGAAGGTGGAAAGGATGCCTGTCAGGTAGGATATACTAAGACCTATTCTTTAGAGAAGCAAAATGACATGTAAATATAAAGTCCTAAGCAACTAAAATAAAGTTCTATATCCTCACTGTCCTGAGAAGGAGTTAAATGTATTAAGCATTTGTTATAAGCATTTGTTAAACTGATTCAAAAGACCAAAGGTGCAAAAATATGGTCCACAATTTCTTCGGGGTTCTCCAGGTTAAAAGTAACCTCCACCTCTGGATCTCTTCAATGATAAAACTTTTCCAAACACATAAAAAAAAACATCTGCACTACTTGTGGTCTATACTTGGGTGCAGGTCTTCCTGAACATAAAGATAGAGGCCATCACTATTCAAAGAGATGATTAAGAAATATGATCCATCTGCATCTTCCTTTTTTTGCATAGGAAGTTGTGGGGAAGAAAGGTTATAGGTAGCAGGTGCCTTGGGGCAAAATGTGAAACTTCAACCCTGAAAACCAAAAATTAGCTTGGCCTTAACCACTTTTCAGGAGTGGTCCTTGAAATGCAATGCAAAGTTTGCTGGGACCCTCGAGCTGATGGAAAGTATGAGGTCCTGGTATAGACATAATCAGTCATAGAGTTTTTCTTTCCTATCTTAGAGAAGCCATTCCCAATTATCAGTTCTCTTTTATCCTCTGCAAGGGCAAGAAAAAAAGGGGTTCCAACCAATTAAAAAAGAAAAAGAAATCTTATTCAATGATCATGTAAGTTTGGGTCTGTGAGCAGTCTGTCATTTAATTTCATTTACCTAGAAAAAAAGCTTTGTTAAACTCAGTTGTGTTAATTTCTGAGTAGGCCTTCCTGCTGCAATCACACAATATGCTTAATCTGTTTAAAGAAATAACCTTTTTTTTTACAATACACTGAATCATAATACCACCAAGGGGGGGCTGGGTTAGCATAATATGCAAAGCCACAATAACACTCAGCCAGAATAAATCTATGAAAGCTTAAGTACTTAGGAGTTATAGGACCTTGTAACTCAAGGCCAAGAGGGGCTTCAGACTACAATGGGAGTGTAATGGTATGTGGGAGACAGGAAGAAGTGCCACAGACTAGGCCAGACATGACAAACACAAGGCCCGGGGGCCGGATGCGGCCCGCGAAGTGGTTTCATGTGGCCCGCGAAGCCATCCTGGAAACAGTGAGGGAACAGCCCCCGCTGCATTGGCCCTGGCCCAGGCCGGCTGGAAGCCAATGTACAATTTTGTGGTAGCCATCTATGCTGAAACACATTCAGTCTTAGCTCCACAAGACCATCTGGAAACAGCGAGGAAACAGCTACTGCCACATCGGCCCCGCCCCCTGGGTGCATGCTGGGGAGGTGTCACCCTTTGTGAGGAATGAAGAAATGCACCATTGCCTGGAAGTGGCCAGCAAATGGCCCTCGCCTACTTCACATATCCAGCTTGATGGGCTCCGGGGGAGGGGTTTCGGCAGGCAGCGGGGCGCTCTCCTCACAGCGCCAAGAGGCTGAGCCGGGCGGCGCAAATCCAAAAAGAAGCACGATGACGCCCAGCCCCCAGCCTGCCCGGTTTCGGCAGGCAGCGGGGCGCTCTCCTCACAGCGCCAAGAGCTGAGCCAGGTGGCGCAAAACTGATGAGAAGTGCAATGCTGCCTAGCCCCCAGCCTGCCCAGTTTCAGCAGGCAGCATGGTGCAAAGCTGGCGAGCTTCGCACCGCCCGGCTCAACCTCTCGGCGCTGTGAGGAGAGCGCCCCACTGTCTGCTGAAACCAGGCAGGCTGGGGGCTTGGCGGCATTGCGTAAGTAACGTTGACTCTCACGCTGCTCATGGCATCCCCTCCCCCAGAGCCCACCAAGTCAGATATGTGAAGTAGGTGAGGGCCATGTGCCGGCCACTTCCAGGCAATGGTGCATTTCTTCATTCCTCACGAAGTGTGACGCTTCCCCAGCTGCGTTTCTTGCCTGTTTGTCTCCCTCCCTCATCTCAAATATTTTCCCACCACTCTGTAATTAGGAAGGAAGAAAGGAAAGAAGGAAAGGAGAGGAAGGGTCTGAGGGAAGTCCTGCCTTAGTCCTGCCCTGCTGCCCTTTTACCATCTCCTTGCCCCCTCCTCCTGGCCTATCCTGGGTGTCTCCCATCCTATTGCTAAAGAAGCTTTGGATACAAAGCCAGGTCTCCTCCCATGGAGAGGGAATGGGCCTCCCTCTGACTTTGCCCTTGTACCCATCATGAGTAACCTGGCTAAGGAGAGCAAGCACAGCAGCAGCAGCCTTGAGGAGGAGGTAAGCGCAGCTGGGCGCCTCCTTGGGTAAGTGGGGCTGGGCTTGGTGCCGCGGGTGCTCGAGGGCCAGGCTGGGCGTTTGACCTCTGCTGCCCAGGGCTCCAGGCAGCCTGCACCACCATCCAGCCCCCCCGCATGGCCTGAGAGGAACGGTGAGGCTCCTCCAGTGGACCATGCCTTGGCACTTGCCCTGGTCCCACCCCCTTCTGCCAGAGACCCTCAGATCTGTCCCACTCCTGCCCAGGCCCCCACAGGCACCCTTGACACGAATGATGTAAAGCTGGCCATGCCCACCCAATAGGCCACACCCACTCCATCCACGCCCACCCAGTAGGCCACACCCACCCTGGCCACACCCACCTGCCCCCCCCCGAGGGTAACCGCAATGCTGATGTGGCCCTCAATGAAATTGAGTTTGACACCCCTGGTCTAAAGGGTCAAATTACCATAACAAAGCAACAGTACTCCACTGGGCTTTTCTTTTGATAGTCCAGGTCATAACTAATTATTTAGGAATATCTTCACTCCTTTTCAGTGCAGCTATTTTTAATAGCCTCATTAGCTTCATAACTAAGTCCATTTTACACATAGACAGAAACTGAAGCTGAAAGCTAAAGGAGTCACATTCTGCACTAAGCTAGAAAGGGGATCTCTTTTTTTTTTTACCCTTTTCTTCCCCACATAGGAAGACAAGTAGATAAAACTCTTGGTACAAGGCCAACTACGTGCATGTTTGATCCTTGACTCTTCCTGACTAACTAAGATAATTAGGAGAAGGTTGGTTGATCAAATACCCAGACTGGTCAATGCTTCACTGGGAGAAACTCTGCTATCCGGATTTGCCTCCAGAAGTGTGGAACAACTTGCCTTTAGAAGTTATGAATGCTCCAACACTGGAAGTTTTTAAGAAGAGATTGGACAACTATTTGTCTGAAACGGTATAGGGTTTCCTGCCTGAGCAGGGGGTTGGACTAGAAAACCTCCAAGGTCCCTTCCAACTCTGCTATTCCGTTCCGTTCCGTTCCGTTCCGTTCCGTTCCATTCCATTCCATTCCATTCCATTCTAAGGTGACTTTGGGAAACCTCAACTGAAGAGTCCACTCTGGGGTGCACCAAATTGGATAATTTTGCTCTAAACTCTAATGTAATACTGCTGCGTGAGGTGCTTAAAGGCCTTGTAGCATCTCAGTTCTAGTCATTCATAGATGAAAAATATCATCTAGCTCTGGACTTCCGGTGTGCAGGCGACCTCGTCGGATGCAGCCGACAGCTGCCTCCCGCCTGTTTTCGTGTAAAAGCCGTTCTGACAGCAAGCATCAGCTGTCAAACGGCTTGATACCTTTCCCCCGGGCATAAGGGGATCGGTGAGCCGCCCGGGGTAGGAGTTGAGTTCCCGAGTCGTCCTATGTGGACGATGTAGGTTAGAACTCCTCCGGAGCCCCGAGGACTCTCCGCGATCCAGGACGCCTTCGCTTCGGCGAAGCTAGAAGCCGCCGACACCGCTGCAACTTAAACTGAACTGTGAGTTATTATATGCAGACAAACCGACCCTGGAAGTTTGTTTCCTATTTTGGATTCTACCCTAACTTTGGATAGTCTGATCTTCCCTATACTTGGAGTGGATTGAGTGAAAGTGAATTTAAAATG